GGGTTACTGCACTTTGTGTACCATTACTGCTCTATAAATAAGCCCTCAAGAGAAGGGATGAGAGAGGGAGCTGGGAGGGAAATAGAGAAAGAAGCAGGAACAGAGAGGGGTAAATAAAAACCAGCAACCGTTTGTTTTTCAGCTGAAAATCTCCAATGTTGCAGCTGAACAGGAAATTCACAGAATGGCCTTTCCAGTTACTGACTCCTAGGGGATACCATTAAATGGATAGGTAAAATGGTTTTCTAGTCAGGCCAGGAGCGAGCCTCAGTACCAGCAACTTTATAGCTGAACATGGGGAAGCATTTTACCATCGGAGGTACGTGCTTTCTAAATAAACAAGTTTTCTCTTTTCACCTATGATTATTCACGCCATTAGTAAAGACAAGCCGTACATCCTCTGGTATTTATTCTTTCCTGTTTTAATATGTGCCACGCAGCTCCTGTCTTTGGTAGAAAAGATAGTCTTACTACTGGCCTTTTCGTTAATGTTCTTTTTTTCCAGGGATCGTGCTGAGTTTTACGCTGGACGTCGCATGCCGAGATTTTATGAAGCCCAGTGGGTTCTGAACTGTTTATTTAAACTGACAGTTATGGGTGTTGGGTGATGTCACTCCGCCCAGTGATTTATGGCTGCAAGTGGATTTCCATATAACTTCACAGTTGGGCAACGGGTCAGTAGCTGAAGTTATGACTTACAACATAGCAATAGTTGAATGGATAAAAATACAAAGCACATTACAGCCTTCTAAAAAACAGAAAGTATCTTCATGACTCACTTCCACCACAAATCCCCAAAATAAGGGTTTATATCTCATTTTAGGATAGTAAGGGGAGCCATGTAAATCATTCCCCTTTGGCTTTTGCAACTGTGCATCCAGAACAACTGGTTTATAGCACAAATACAGCCTTATATTACTTTATAGAGCCATTATCTCAAAATACATACAGCTGTTTAATGCTTATTGACCATCATCACTACAGTGAAATAGAAACCACAAAGGGCAGAAGGAAGTGGAGTCCCAAAAATAATATTCAATGAGTTGGTCAAGCGCAAGCAATTGTATTTATTACAGCTGCTCTCTGGGGTACCACTCCCTCCCCACCACTCTTAAGTGCCCCCTCTCAACCAATTGCCATGTTAGTTTAAAAACAATAATAATCAAAAAGGCCAAAATACTCCTCTAAATTTGGGAGAACATGACACAATGGGTCTCGAGTCTTATCACTAAAGCAGAGAGGGAGATTGGCCTGGCTTCAGACTTGCGGAAGATTGAGGACATCACAATAAGGGACCAGTAGGGACAGTGACAAAGTGCTATGTTGGATCACCAGTCTCTACTTCTGCCAGCAAGAGACAATTGACAGCGAATTTAGGTGAGTAAAAAATAACAAAACAGAATAGGCGGGAAGTGAATGGGGGGTTATGTTTGGCTAGAGAAGGGCTTTAAAGATTGCTTGGCCTTGACCAACTCATACATTTTTCTTTTTGGCGCTCCACTTCCTTCTACACTTTACATTTGCCCAAGGTCTTTCAACTAGTAGGGTGCCGCCATGCTCTAGGTTGGGCTTACTGGCCATAGGAAATTTCACACCAATAAAAAATACAGCCACTCACGACTAAACCCTGTAATAGAAAATGTAATATATAGGTGCCAAAGAAATAGAAAGGAGTTTCTTGTGCTCCTGTAACCCGAAAGTGACTCGCAATATCATTAATCCCTCATTTTTTTAAATAGTTCCATTAAGGCATCCTATAGGGGATTTTTGCAATACTGCAAATATTTCTTCATACTTCCTTTTAATTATTTACAATTAATTACTACTTACCTACTTTACTTCATATTTTTAATCCCTCCCTTTATTCGTAAGGGTTAAAAAATGGGAATGTGCCATGAAGAGCAGCAAAAGGATGTGATGGGAAAAAAAATCTGCAAATAGGCGAGGCTAGAGCGTGTGATGATGCACATAGCTTGCACAATGATGAGTTTGAGTGTTGGCACAGCATCCACGTGGCCAGAAAGCTATAGATAGAAGCTGCACTTGTAAAGAGATGGCACTTTTTGGAAAATTTAGCACAGAGCACCATTTCACATAAAACCCCTGATGTAATCACACATGTGGCAAAACATATTGGGTACACTATAGGGCACTTATAATTTAGTGGTGAGGTCCATGTGGTGAAAATGGAAAAAGAGATTAGAACGTTTTACAAGACATAAGGAAGAAACAGTCTCCATCCGGCATGGAAACCACTATAGGAATCATGGTGGTGGTGTGTAAATAGAGAAAGAAAATTGAAACTACGAATATTCAAATATGCTTCAATAAATATAGAAGTAGATGTTGATAGTACTGAAGTGTGTAAATTATAAATTGTGGACAGAAGCTGTTGGTTTCTTTCTATAAATGTATAACCCGTGGGACTCCAGCTTTCATGCCCTTCCAAAAAAGCCTCCTGCCTGGGTCTGTTTTTTTAATAACACACTATACTTACATTTTTTTCACCACCAGTCTGATGACATCATGGGTCCTACCTCTTCTTATTTGATTTATGGTCCTTCCTCATGTAGCGGTGCTCCTGTAACGTACAGAAGTGCTGTGAGCCAAGGCTGCTTGATGACACACCCCTGGAGCGTGTCCTTGACAGCCTGGGCCTGCAGGAAGTGGGTTGTATGAGGCTCGGCATCATTTGACTCAGGAGGAGTAGAGCTAGACACATTAAAGTAAACCTGCTGGGAAATCCCACTTAAACCCCATTCTGTGCTAGGTACCTTCCACTGCCTGTTCCTAATTTTACCGCCTCTTACGGGTTAATTTATAAAAGTTCTGCCAGGAACGTAGTAAGGCAGATGTCATTTACACGGCACTAGCGCCCCTAGAAAATGTTGACAAGTTTATGAAATTCCTATACCCCATACATTTCATTACGCTGCCCCTGCAAAGTCACCATCAATTATTGACAATCATTTGTAAAGACAAGTATTTCCTATATGTCTGTGAAGGTTCTCATTCATCCAGGTCAGAGGTGGGGGGAGGGGGGGGACATCTATTGTCTGCCACATACAATGCTGTTTTAACACCTCTCACTGGGCAGGTTAATAACACCTCCTAGACTCCAATTATGCAAAAGCAATCTACACCTGGTTGTGACTAACCGATTATGTGGATTGGAGCGACATTCACCATATTTATTCCCAGATAATTTTTTGTACTAGTCATTCTGAATTGAGAAAATTGGTCGGATGACCAGTGAAACGCCTTCAAGAAAAATACAGCAAGTCCAGTTGCCGTGACTTATTTTTTACAGAGATATTTCCTATAGTTTCACTTTTCTGCCGCTGTCTAGAGTTACTGTAGATTTTCTACCACATATAAGGGCCAGTTCACACCAGATGCAGTTGTGATGCAGTCTGTTGAGTTGGGCTGCTGCAGCCAAAATACATCACAATGCTTTCCTACGGGCTTTCTTTTGCTGTATTCACACCATTGCGGTCCGTTTAGATGCAGTCCGAAAAAATACTGCTCGTCCTATTTTAGCTGCATCTGATCGCACCGTAACGCATCAAAACACATAAAAAACGCATGCAAACGCATCAAAACGCAATGGAACGCATCCAAAAAATAAAGCACAGAATTGATTGTGTCATCATCCAGGGATTTCCTCGTTGTAGGTACAGCCAACACTATCACCATGCCTGCCAACAAAGCAAGCATGTCTGAACTCCAAAACAAACAAATGAAATGCTCTGATAGGAAAAAAGGAAGTGACCTAATTGTCTAATTATCATTTTATCTTTAAAAACGCATCGGAATGCATCAAAACGCATCACAAACGTGTCAAAACGAATCGCAATACAACTGCGCAGACGCACGCAGTTGAGATGCAGTTTCTGGTGTGAACTAACCCTAAAGGGTCAGTCTATTGACACCATTTGCTGGCTTTTTTTAACTCTTACGTACTTCCGCTATGAGATCTCCAGGTGGCTGGAATTAGTGCAGTAAGAATGACACGTCTTGGATGCAGGGCCCATAGATGTGTTATAGTGTGAAGTGCGGCCTTGCAGTGACATATTGCAGGTTTGATCTCTTTCTTATTAATAGCATTGGCAACAAGTCCCATTTTTACTGGCCAGACTGGTAACATATATTGTTCAGGTTGCAATCCTAGCATCAATACACCAAATAAATAGCATCGATTTACTGAAAATTGTTTTGAAATATTCAGACATTATGTTCGGGTTTTAAGGGGTCCCGGCCCTAGAAAGGTTGAGAACCACTGCTGTAGATGAAACATATAACAGCAGCATTACAGATATCATAGACTGGAAGTGTTTCTTGTGTCTTCTTCCTCCACCTTCATATTGCAGTCCATTAGCATTCAGGAAAGAAATAAACATTTTTATGAGACTGGTAATTAAAAAATGTCAGTCTTCTAGGCATAATGGAAGCATATAAAGGAGAAAAGTTGGCACTACCTTTGAACGGAAAGTGGAAATTGATGGCTGACTGTCCCATAATTTAGCAGAGGCCATGATGGTCATCTGAGATAGCTGAATTGTGTGAGAAATTACATTAAAGAGTTTATGTCTTGGCTGGAGCTGGGCTTTAAACCCTTTCCTATTCTGGCAAATATTTAAAATGTTTTAACTGGGGTTTCAATATAAATCGGAACTATACTGCTTTGTGGTGGGTGGGCTGTTATATGCAAGTACACACCTAAACCCAGAAACACAAATGTTATATATTGCAGGCTAGCAGTCCTTAGATATGGTGGCTGCATTAGATTTTTTTCCCCGTATTTTCCTTTATTTTCACATGGTGATCCTGCCAGTAACATACTTTCTGTCCTAGGGTGACAACGCTTACTCAATATATTGTATCTATGTATCTATTGTATCTATGTATCAATATATTGTATCTATGAAGAAACAGCATTGTCACCCTAGGACAGAATGTGTGTTAGGACTACAGAACACCCCCTTCTTCTTGTATACAAGGAGTTTGCATGTTCTCTTTGTGTTTGCGTGGTTTTACTCCGGGTACTCTGGGTTTTCCCCACACTCCAAAGACATGCTGGTAGGTTGTTGGCTCCTGTCTAAAGTGGCCCTTGTGTATATGCATGTGAGATAGAGACCTTAGATTGTAAGCTCTTTGAGGGCAGGGACTGATGTGAATGTTCAACTATGTAAAGTGCTGCATGAATTGTCGGCACTATGTGAATACCTGTAATAAATAAATCTCCATGGGCCATCAATCACTGATAACACTAAACTGATGAGCGGTAAAAGCTTTTAAAGTGTTGCCTACGGTCAATTTTGGGTAGTGTAGTTTTTTGCGATTTCGCAGGTGTGCGCAATTTTTAAGCTTGACATGTTTGGTGTCTATTTACCCGACGTGACCCCGACTTTTATATTTTACCAAAAAATTGGGTAATAATAATTGTTTCCTAACATAATGTAAAAAACACCTTTTTTTTCAAAATGTTCAGTATATTTTCTGAAATATAGAAATACCTCCAAAAGAAAGCTCTATCTGTCCCCGAAAAACTGGTATAGAATTAATTTCAGTACAGCGTTGCATGACGGAATAAATGTCTGTCAAAATACCGCAGCGCTGAATACTGAAAAATGGCCTGGCCAGGAAGGGGGTCTAAACACCTGGTTAGCAAGTGGTTAACCTAACCAGCCCATGTGCTTCAGATGAGAAGTGTTAGAAATAGTTGGGGGGCTACAGGTTCTTGCAGCAAAATTTAGGTGTGCTCAGGGCATCTAAAGGATGTGCTTTACTGAGTATTGGTTACTGATATGTAACATATCATGCTAAAAGACTTTCCTTCTCCACTGCTGCATTTTCTATATATAGCCTGGCACTTACTACAGAAATAAGACATAAAGAATAATGGTACCTAATGCCTACCCAATGTCTGCCAAGATAAACACTTGTCACCATTCCAATATAACTGCTTTTTCTTTGAATGAAAGATGTATTCCGATGCTTCTCAGCAGGAAGTGTAGCTACACTATTTATTTAATTAGCTATCATCCAAGACAGGTTTCTGCATTCCACTTTGAATTTTCCACCTTCCTACCCAACAAAGGAAAAATTAGCACTGCTGCTGGTAAGGCTGCTATTAAATTAAAGGTGGCCATACACTTTACAACCATCGCAAGACCTTATTCTTGCGATGGTTGTAAAGTAATTTTAAAAAAACGTACGATCTGCCCATCTTGAACAGGCAGATCGTACTTGCGATCATCGCAAGCCCTCCCCCCTGAGGGGCGTGCGCACACCGGCCCGTTCTGCATTTGTCTCCCGAGCATCATTCAAACCAGCCGAAAATCGTACAATTTTTGGCTGGTTTTCTAGCATGCTCCTTAGACAAAAGACGTGCAACCGTACTGTAGAAACGGTCGCACGTCTTCATTCACACTGCACAATTCTCGTACGATCACGGGATTTCCCACGATTCTCGTACAAGAATTGTGCAGTGTATGGGCACCTTAAAGCTGTTGCATTGCCCTGCAGGGATTCTGAGTACCTTACAGCATGCCCGACTCTCACAAAATGTGCTCCCAAGCTGCAAAAAAGAGCATATACTACTAGGCATACTAGGCATTTCAGGTCTAGATCCTGTTTAGTTCCCTTTAAGTACTGAAAAGTACACCGTTTACAGCATATACTCTCCTGTTATAACATCAGCATTGTAATAAGAACACATACTAGACTTGTTTTTTAAAATGCATTCAAAGCTTACTTGAAAAAAATGTCTTTCATGTACTGAGTGCTGCCTTCTGTCTGCCCATCACTTTCCCCAACTTCCTGGATTCTCAGTGTGCTTTGTGTTTCTTCCCCTGCTGCTTGATGTGATGCAAGACTACATATCCCATAATGCATTGCTCCCCGCAAGCAATGATGTTATACTGTTCAGACATTGAGTTGTAGTTCAGAAGGCAGGCTCTGTGTTCTGTGATACATGGAAGTGCATAGTCACATGGTTATTAGGAGTGGGATAGAACGTATGGAAATTCAATATGGAAATATATAATCATTTTTAGTTTTTGACCAAAGATACCTTTTAAAGCGGACCTTTACCCATATCTTTAAAATAACAACAAACACACCTTTAGAAATGTTTAGTAATGACAATCTACAAACACATACTTCTAGATAATTGCATACCTTATTTATCTTTTCTTCCCCAGTCTTCTGACGGCAGATTACTAGCTATCCTTTTACTTCCTGGATTTCTGACACATGTGACTAGACATGTGACTAGGACATGTGACCATGCACATCATCACAGAGGAGGAAAATGCCTTTCCCTGAGATCTCCTGAGATGTGATTTCCCAGCAATGCTCTGCTGATGACAAGGCAATCCCAGTGTGCATTGCACAAAGCAGAAAGTGAATGCTCTGCAAGTGGAAGTATTTCACAATCACAGCATTTTACACCTGACATATCTATGTTATTATTAATCATCATACATAGAGGGATGCATTGGTAGAATTTGATGTTTAAGTGTAAAGGTCCGCTTTAATGTGCAGCAACTCTAGGAGGAAACCTAGACTATTATTTTATATATATGTAGCCATACTGAGGGCTCATTCACACATAATGGCGTGACCTGCACTGTGCCAAACCGGATCATAGCAGGTCCCTAGTAGGACACAAATAAAACAACATTTGTTTTCGATGTGCCCCATTCACACCACAACGCAGCTGTGATGGGTGGGGCAATAAAATGCAAACATGCTGCAATTTATCACAGCACAATGGATCCCACTGCAGGTTGCAGCTCAATGGACCGCACTGCTGTGCGTAGACCTGAATGAAGTGTACACATTGTACACTCCACATAGAGTTGAAAAAATGTAAACAGTGACAGCTCTGGCAGTGTGCGACACTATGCACACCAACAGAGCTGTCACAAGGCACTAGCCCATCTGCTGAAACGCAGCTGGCTAGTGTGAACGGGCCCTTAACAAAACATCAATTATTCTGTTTATGTGTTGTCCAGTTAACAGGACAATTGTATATGACTAACAGATGTGTGAATTTACAGCTTCTCTCACCTTTAAACAGAAGGTAGACTGCTATGTTTTTCTCCATGACAATACAGACTATCCAATTTTTATAAAGAGTTTATCCCCTAGAAATTCCCATTTGCCTCTAAAGCTGCCAAAACATGTTTAACAAGGACAAGTAGTGCCGTCTCCTTTCCACAAAATGATGCAAAATTCTGTTCTCTGATCCAGAAAACTCAATTCACAGACAAGCACACATCTAATACTATGGTATTAAATTGCAGATTGTTTACAGAAGAAGAGCTTTGTTAATAAAATTAGTTTATTTCAAGTGGATTGACTTATTATTACACACATAACACTAAGGAGATCTAATGATCTAAAATGCATGGTGATAACCATATATTAGTGGTCATTATAGAAGTGCCCTCTTGCATTTGTGATCAGTGGAGGGCCCCCTTACACTGGTGAACAGTGCATAAGTGCCCTCTTACGTTGGTAGAATACACTGGTGGTAAGTGAAGTGGACATTTACATTGGTTGTGGAGAGCCTCCTTTTATTGATGGTCACTGGAGCAGTGTCCCCTTATATTTGTGGTCAGTAGAGAAGTGCCCCTTTACACTGATGGTCAGTGAAGGAATGCTTCCTTACATTGGTGGTCAGTGTAGTGCTTACTTTACTTTAGTGGTCAGTGGAGAAGGCCCCCTAAGAGGAAAAAAGCCCCTATACAATGGTGGTCCATGTAGATCTCACTGATTTAGGCTGTCACTGAAGAAGGCCCCCTTACACTTATAGTCAGTAGGAGAAGCATCCTCTATAGACAGGACTATAGCCCAGAAGCAGTGGGTGAGAGTGCCTAAGTACCGGACATGGAGCGGAGTAAGGCCAGAACTATGGAGCCCAGTGGGAGGAGAGCACTATCCCCCAGCCAGTCACCCCTTTCATGGACTTACTAGTGAGTCCTCACATCACCCAACCATTCACACTAGCGTTTCATGGATGGCAGGGGCAGGGAGAAGGCGGGGGAAGAGGCAGAGCGGGAGGGGGGCCAAGTTGCTGCACCATGGGCCTCTAGGTTGTACTTGCCCCTTGGCTAAAAGTTGCCAGTCAGCTCCTGCTGTATTCCGCACCTGCCCAGTCTGCTGTACATTGGATCTGATCTGAAGTCTGACGTACATTGGATCTGGTCTGAGGTGTGCAGTGTATTGGTTCTGGTCTGAGGTCTGTCTTGTATTGGTTCAAATCTGAGGTCTGCTGTGTATTGGATCTGGTCTGAAGTCTGCCGTGTATTGGTTCTGGCCTGAGGTCTGCCATGCATTCTGCATTTAGCTTGCTTTCCATATTGCCTATATTGGTCTAAATTCTGAAATTCTCCTACCAGTTCCCCGGCAATTCATCTTTTAGTGAATTGGCCCACTATTTGACAAATAATGTGTAAAAAAATGTATGTGACCCAAGAATGTCCATGCAGGTGGGGCGTGTGGGAGGGGCTTGTATATGGGCAGAGCACAAGGGGGCCCCATAATCTTGTATTGCCCAGGGGCCCCATGTGTTGTCAGTCCGCCCCTGCTCCTGTCTATATTCCCCCTAGTATGTATGTGTGGGAGTGTATGTATGCATGTGAGATAGGGACCTTAGATTGTAAGCTCCTTAATAGGCAGGGACTGATGTGCATGTACAGCATGTAAAGCGCTGAATAAATTGGCAGAGCTATATAAATACCAATAATAATAATAATAATAAATCAATGAGCTACTTATACTTTCCAAACAAGGACTGCATATGTGCTAAAGTCTGTTGTCTACCTTATATTTTGTATTATTCACTGCAGCCAGAATCAAGAAAGCACCTCACAGGTCACTTAAGCCAAAAACCTGTACTGTATAAATCTATCTCTCTACCTTCTGCATCACTAATCCTTTTGAAGCTTGCAAAACAAATTAGAAACAAAATTAGTGAAAGTGGAAAATCTGTAGTACTGACACTTCTCCAGGCTTCCTCCTGTACCAGCCCCATGACAAAATCTTGGAGCAATGGTAAAGTCATCTCCTCGGCTGCTAGGGTATAGGTGACGAATCTGTGGCCAATCAGTAGCTCATCCT